CTTTATTAAGTTTTCTAATTATTTGTACTTATGGTGTGGTTACTAATGAACTTGTTTTGTTTTTATGTTTTTGAACAATAAAGGGGCGAAAGGGAGGTGGACTACGTAGTGTATCTAAATCGAAGCCTAGTTTGTACGTGGTCTCTCCATTCGAACGTGCAAATCCCAGAGCTAAGAAAGCACAACCTTTGTACCGTGCTCCTCCCTTTGTTGTTCAGACACCATTGACTCTGGAGGCAGTAAAGATGATTCAATTTGCTTTTAGTAGTTCGCTTCCCGAAAGGTACCTCCCGAAATCATTACAAGTAAGATTGGATCATATCTGTAGGATGTTTTTGGTATTTTCCTTATTCTAATGTTGTTGTGTTTGAACTTGGTCTTGTATAACAGGGACGTATTGGTTCGTCTTGATGGCGGGGCTCTTGAGTTGTTACGTGAAGATTTGGTCGAGTTTTTGCCCAGGACCAAAATTTCAACAAGGGTGAGTTCCTTTATGTGTGTAATTTAGTAGATTAAACTTGTATTGCTGACTTTGGTATATGTGATGATGATGCATTAGATTATAGAAATGGCATGTCTGTGCAAGACACTAGAAGAACGAAGTTGCGGTCGCAGTAGTGGCGTGTCTTGGTTCTTTCCACCTTCAGTTTCGGTACAGTTGTCTGCTTTGTCTATTCTTGTCATGAAATTAATCTATTTGTTTGTTACATGTAGCTTGTGTGGGTAACTGTGTTTTATTTTTCTAGGATCGTGCGTATCATTGCAAAAACGAGGAGCAATTTATGGAAAAGATGCGTTCATATAAGATACTTGAGCGATACCGTATAAATGAGCTACTTTACTGCAGTAAGGTATGTTGTAATGTTGTTTTCTAAAAGGAAATGGCTTCACACTCCTATGTTAAATTGATAATTATTGTTTGTTTGTGCATTATTTCATATTCATGTCCCAATTTTCAACCTCACGGTGTCCCACTTCTATCTGGCGGTCTTTAACATGGAAGCCAAAGAAATTGAAATCTGGGACTCAATACCAGGAATTCATAACCTAGAATATGATGCAAGGATGCATAAACTGGTTTGCTTCTTGTTCTTCAAGTTTTCAAACTTGACTTATTGCTTAGTTGTTAGTCGTTGTTCATTTGCCTGTCTTTGTCGTTAAATATCGATGAGGGGGATGTTTTCATTTGCAGAAATTGGGTCTAGACTGGTTGCTTAAGGATGATATCTGCGGGGCGTTTTCATTTGTGGACTTTGTGGTTAGATATCGCCGGGATGTTGCTTGCCAACCAAATGGGTACCCTTTGTTGTTGTTCAATCGTGCACTGTTCTAATTAAGTTTGATAATTATTTGTTCGCATCATGACCATGGTAATTATTTGTTATATTACAGGTTTGATTGTGGACTATTTGTCTCCAATTACTTGCTGGATCCATATCGATATTCCAAGCAGCTTGACCAGTTCGACAGTGACTATGAACGGGCACAACTTACAATGTACTTGCTCACGACGCATTTCAATGAGGTGAAAGCTACAATTACGACACAATCAGAAGAATATTTTGACAGTCATGTGAGACCTGCCCAAATTGAGACTGAGAAGGTGAATTTCAAGACGAACTTACTCAATCGAGGAAGAAAGCCGTTGCACGCGCATGGGGAGAAAAAGGGTAGAAAGTCTAAGAAGCATTGAGAGTAGCATTGAGAGTTGTGATGTTAATGTAGAGTTTAGTTAATGTGGATGTTTTTTTGAAGTTTAGGAAAATGTATATGTTGAATGAATTTTAGTGAATGTAGATGCTAATTAAAGTTTAGGAAACTGTTGAAATTACAATGAAGTTATGAATGAAGCATTATTCAGTGATGTTATCTTTTCTCTATATTATGTTTAATGTGTCGACAAGGAAGAAGTTATGAATGATCATATAACGAAAAATGGTTGAAAATGGACCTTATTCACCCTGCCAACAGGCTTTTTCACGGCCTCAATAATTCATTTTCACGGCCGTGAGATGGTAATTTCTCAGTGTCTCTGATGCAGGATGAATCTTTCACGCCCGTGAGACTGGGACGTGAGATGGGATTTCTATGACACCTTAGTGATGGGAATCTCACGCCCGTGAGACTGGGCCGTGAGAATCAACAAATCATTCCCTAATGTCCAGAGAACCTCACGGTCTTGAAAGAACAATCTCACGGATCTCACACCCGTGAGATTGTGGGCTGCTGTGAGTTAGTGAAAAAAAACGTCATTTGGAAGGTTCGAACCCGAGCACTTGGCATAATAATTTAGCTCATTAACCAGTCAGACTACTTAACATATTTTATTAAATTGATTGTCCGTTTCCCTTTTAGTACATATGGTTGAATGAGCGTTTGATTATCGGTTTTTGGTTCAACCCATGTAATTGTAAACCGATGTGAGATTGAGATTAGGTATATGGTTGAATGAGCGTTTGATTATCGGTTTTGGGTTCAACCCATGTAATTGTAAACCGATGTGAGATTGATGTTAGGTATATGGTTGAATGAGCGTTTGATTATCGGTTTTGGGTTCAACCCATGTAATTGTAAACTGATGTGAGATTGATGTTAGGTATATGGTTGAATGAGCGTTTGGTTATCAGTTTTGGGTTGAACCCATGTAATTGTGAATCGATGTGAGAATGATGTTAGGTATATGGTTGAATGAGTGTTTGATTATCGGTTTTGGGTTCAACCCCTGTAATTGTAAACCGATGTGAGATTGATGTTAGGTATATGGTTGAATGAGCGTTTGGTTATCAGTTTTGGGTTGAACCCATGTAATTGTGAACCGATGTGAGATTGAGGTTATGTATATGGTTGAATGAGTGTTTGATTATCGGTTTTGGGTTCAACCCCTATAATTGTAAACCGATGTGAGATTGAGGTTAGGTATATGGTTGATTGAGCGTTTGGTTATCGGTTTTGGGTTGAACTCATGTAATTGTGACCCGATGTGAGATTGGTTGATGATATATGGTTTAGTGAGTGTTTGATTACGGTTATTGGGTTGAACCCCATGTAATTGTAAACCGATGTGAGATTGAGGTTAGGTATATGGTTTAATGAGTGTTTGATTATCGGTTTTGGGTTGAACCCATGTAATTGTGAACCGATGTGAGATTGAGGTTATGTATATGGTTGAATGAGTGTTTGATTATCGGTTTTGGGTTCAACCCCTGTAATTGTGAACCGATGTGAGATTGAGGTTATGTATATGGTTGAATGAGCGTTTGATTATCGGTTTTGGGTTCAACCCCTGTAATTGTGAACCGATGTGAGATTGGTGGATGATATATGGTTTAGTGAGTGTTTGATTATGGTTTTTGGGTTGAATCCCATGTAATTGTAAACCGATGTGAGATTGAGGTTAGGTATATGGTTGAATGAGTGTTTGATTATCGGTTTTGGGTTGAACCCATGTAATTGTGAACCGATGTGAGATTGAGGTTATGTATATGGTTGAATGAGTGTTTGATTATCGGTTTTGGGTTCAACCCCTGTAATTGTGAACCGATGTGAGATTGAGGTTATGTATATGGTTGAATGAGCGTTTGATTATTGGTTTTGGGTTCAACCCCTGTAATTGTGAACCGATGTGAGATTGAGGTTAGGTATATGGTTGATTGAGCGTTTGGTTATCGGTTTTGGGTTGAACCCATGTAATTGTGACCCGATGTGAGATTGGTTGATGACATATGGTTTAGTGAGTGTTTGATTACGGTTTTTGGGTTGAACCCCATGTAATTGTGAACCGATGTGAGATTGGTTGATGATATATGGTTTAGTGAGTGTTTGATTACGGTTTTTGGGTTGAACTCCATGTAATTGTGAACCGATGTGAGATTGGTTGGTGATATATGGTTGAATGAGTGTTTGATTATCGGTTTTGGGTTCAACCCCTGTAATTGTAAACCGATGTGAGATTGAGGTTAGGTATATGGTTGAATGAGCGTTTGGTTATCGGTTTTGGGTTGAACCCCTGTAATTGTGAACCGATGTGAGATTGGTTGATGATATATGGTTTAGTGAGTGTTTGATTACGGTTATTGGGTTCAACCCATGTAATTGTAAACCGATGATTTTTTGGGTCGGTCATAATGAAGAAATTCCTAGATCCTAAACCCTCACCGTCGTGATGCCGTTTCTTCCTTCTCCTCCTTCGTCGGCGCCAGAGGACTGATCCTCGGTTCCTCCCTGTCGACTTCTTCCTTCCTGCTTCCCTCCTTAGTCGGCTCTTATCCACCAATATTACGAAACCATCGATTTCTTCCTTCCTGCTTCCCTCCCTGTCGACTTCTTCCTTCCTGCTTCCTATCTCCCTTCCTTCGTCTTCCCTTCTCTACGCAACCATCGATTTTCCATTCTCCCTTATTCGCCCATCCTTCGTCAGCCGCCGAAGACCCGCAGACCGCTCTCCATCACTCTCCGTCAAGTACGATAACCTCTTCTCCTGCTTTACCTGTGTGTTTTGCGCTTCTAGTAGCCTCAGATTTCGAGTTTGAGTCTTGCGAATTTAGGGTTCCACGGGGTTTTTTGGGAAATTGTTGGTTTTCGTCCAGATTTGTGCGGTTCTAGTTGCTTCATTTTCGTCCAGATTTGTGCGGTTCTATTTGCACTCACGGGTTCTTTTGGGAAACTTATGGGTTTCGCCGGACTTTGGGTTCTTTTGAGAAATCAGGGACTTATGGGTTCTTCTTGGTATGGAGTACGGTTTAGGCTATGGTTTCTTTCATTTGTGAATGGTTGGTTTGTCGCAGAAGTGAAGGGGAAACTATGGTTGCTTAACTCGGTCTTGCCTCGTGTTTGTTTCAATTGATTCGGTCGGTTGTGGGTGGTGAATATGTGGATTTCAATTGTCTCTAAACTTCATTTTGTTGCTTGTTTTCAGTTGATCAACTATGGAAGGGTTGATGGATGATATGAGCACAGGCAAGGACACGGGAATTGACTTGAATGTTGGTTTAGATTGGGGAATGGATTATGGAGATGATACCGGTGGTGTTAGAGATAGTGACGATATGGAGGACAATGTCGACACCACCGATAGTGATTCTGAGGATGATAATAACACTAACTTTGGTGATGATGATAAAGAGAACATCTCAGATGAGCATTTGCACAGCTTCGAAACACAGCCACACAGCTCAGATGCACCTCTACACAAAGATGCTGCAAATCCAGCCATGGCTCCACCGTACTCGAGTATGTATGACTGGACCTTGCTTGATAAAGTCGGGAATGGTAAGCCATATTCTAAATGGGAGTCGGATGATGTTGTGGGTTATGAGTTTGAAACCCTTGTGGAGGCTGCCAAGTTCTATTCAACTTATGGTTGTGCCATGGGATTCAGCGTACGGAAGAACACTCACACATATTCAAAATATGGAGTTAAAAATATGCAGCGATGGGTTTGCTCACGCGAGGGGGAGCGTCAACCAGTGCACAATGACAAGGAGAACAGAAAGCGTGAACCTAGGCCTGTAACAAGGCTCCATTGTCCGGCAGCTTTCAAAGTCAGTTTTTTTGAGGCAACTAACCGATTCAAGGTGAAACAGTTTATACCAACACATTTTCATCACTTAGCTGGAGCACATGAAGTGCAGTTTTTGAGTTCTCGTCGCAAGGTAGATGACGCAAGTAAGGCTCAGATTCGATCACTTAGGGCTGCTGGTATTCGCACCAATCAAATAATGGATTATCTAGTGAATTGTGCGAGAAGCTTTCAGAACTTGGGTTTCACTAAGACCGATGTCTACAATTTTGTTAGTGCGGATCGGAGGTCGGAGATCTTGGATAGTGATAGTGAAGCTGCACTTGCCTACTTACAAGCACGGGCAACTACCGATCCTCGTTTTTATTGTAGATATACAGTAAGTGATGGTGGTGAACTAGGCAATATGTTATGGGCTGACTCTTCTTCACAATTGGATTATAGTCTCTTTGGAGATGTTCTTGTTTTTGACTCGACGTACAAAACTAATGCATATAATCTTCCATTTCTTCTATTCATTGGTGTGAATAATCACAATCAAGCACTGTTTTTGCATGTGCTTTACTTGCGGATGAAACGGCGGAGAACTACGTATGGATTCTAAATGCTTTTTTACATTGCATGGGTGGTAAGAAGCCAACCGCAGTTATAACAGATGGTTGTTCTTCAATGAGGAAAGCTATCAAGTCGGTTCTCCCTGGATCCCGACATCGGTTATGTTCTTGGCACTTGGGCAATAACGCAGAAGCGCGTGGCCATGCGGAAGGCTTCCGGGAGGATTTCAAACGATGCATGCTAAACTGCAGTTCTATTCCACAATTTGAAGCTACGTGGAAGGAAATTTTGTCCAAGTATGACCTGGAGCACAATGCGTGGATGAAGAAGATGTATAGGCGACGAGCTCTATGGGCCACAACTTACTTGAAATGTATTTTCTTTGCTGGGATGACTACGTCACAACGTTGTGAGAGCATGAACTCTTATCTAGACAAATTCTTGCAAAGTAAGATGAAGTTGTTTGAGTTTGTCAAGCAGTTTGACATGGCACTTTTGTATAGGAGACAAACTGAGTTACATGACCAGTTTAAGACAATACATACTGATGTTGTTTTGATGACACATTTACATGAAATTGAAAGACATGCCTCTATATTATATACAAGAAATGTGTTCAGGAGCGTTCGAGCAGAAATAGCGAGAGAAGTTCATTACTATATTACAGACAAGTGTGTGTTGACCAATAAAACAATTTACACATTGTCACGATTCAAATACCCTGACTCAAAGTGCACTGTGGTCTTTTACACGAGTGGACATGATGTGCATTGTTCTTGTGGCATTTTTGAGTTCTGCGGAATTCCATGTCGGCATATATTCTGTATATTGAAAGCAGAAAATCAAATACAAATTCCAAAGTCACTCATTTTGAAGCGTTGGACTAAAGATGCAAAAGAGTTCGATCCCTCGAGTATGGGAAGCTGTCCTACCCAGCAAAATATTAGCAGGTATTATAAATTTAAGCTGTTGATTTAGTTCTTTGTTTACTTCTATTGTGCTAGGAACCAACTACAAAATTGCTTGTTTATTTGGACAGGTTTGGATTCTTGGTTGGTCAATGTAGTAGAATGTGCCATTATGCTGTGAGTTTGGATGAAGCATTTCATACTGCCAAAGGGTTGATTGAAGACTTGACCTTGCGAGTGAAGAAACAACCAACAAAACAAATAATGCCACTACGGATGCTGGAGTGAACTCCTCTCAGTTTATTAAGGACCCCCATCCAGTTCGAAGTAAAGGGAATGTGAAGCAACCTAAAGTGAAAACACGGTTGTGCAAGTATTGTAGGCGTCCTAAACATACAATCAGAAATTGTCCGCTGAAAAGAATGGCTGAAGCAGGTGCAGGTGATAGTCATTTCACGCAACAAGAATACAACTTCGAGTCCATAGGAGCAGGTGAAAGCAGCTTTCATGTGGAGACTCAAGAATCTGTTCTACTTCCCAAACGATCCAAGCACAACCTGTAATGCTGGTGTTCGGCTTCAAACAACATTATGTTTCATCTTGTCATGTTTGTTTTGTGCAAGTTAGTATCTAGTGACATTGAATGGATCTATGTAATGCTTGTGTCTAGCTTCAAAGAACATTATGACTCATCTTTTCATAAGCTTGTAGTTTTCAAAAACAGTATATTATGTTTCTTACACTATTATAATAAGTACAGGGGTTAGTTCTACATGTGAATGTCTGTGCAGGCCAATTCTGGAAATCTCACGGCCGTGAAAGCATGCGTGGTTTTTGGATTTGAAATTCTGAAAATATCACGGCCGTGAGAGTAACCGTGAGAGAGGCCGTGAGATGATGACAGCTGAAACCCAAAAACACGCCTCATAACTGAAACCTCACGGCCGGGAGATATGCCGTTAGAATTCTTTTTAAAATTTGTAACTTCCAGGGGGTTTCACGGGTTATATCCCGCCCGGGACAAAAAGCCGTGAGATTGCACCCTAAAATTGGTAACACCCTATTTAAACCTTCCTCTATTCTACTTGAACCCTCAAATTGGAAACAACCCTCCGTTCTACTTCGACCCCCAACCCTCTTTCACTTCCTACTTCTTTTTCTCCCCAACTCTGCAAATCCTCCCCGCTCCGACTCCGTTTCGCCGGCCGCCATGAGCAAGGGACCAGGTCTCTACTCCGACTTCGGCAAGAAGGCCAAAGGTAAACGACTTCCTCTCTCTCTCTCTCTCTCTCTCTCTCTCTCTCTCTCTCTCTCTCTCTCTCTCTCTTGCTCTCGCGGTTTGCTGCGGCGCCGATGTTTCGTTTGATTCCCTCTTTGTTTGCAGATTTGCTCACCAGGGATTACCTATCCGACCAGAAGATTTCCATCTGTAGTTTCACCGATTCTGGAGTGGTCAGTTCCTTATCATCCCTTCCACACTCATTCTGCTCTTTTCAACTCTTTATGATTTGCTTAAGCCCTGCGATTGGATCTGAGATTTTTCGCATTTCATTTGGTTTGAATGCTCTGAGCTACGCCATGAGAGCTGAAGCTGGCCATGAGAGCTGTTGCTGCTTTCTATTATCTCCAGCAATTGGTTTGTGTAGAGCATACCCTAGGATTTTATTGTTCTAGGAGGTCCACTGTGTGTAGTTTGATTCATTTTTGGATTAACAGTTTTTCTTGGCCATTTCAGGCTGTTACCTCGAATGTTGTTGAGAAAGGAGGCCTTTCGTCTGGGGATGTGGCAGCTGAATACAAGCATAAGAATGCTACTGTTGGATTCAAAGTCGACACTGTGTTCAGTTGTCCCTTCTGCAATCATGGAACAAGTGTCGAGTGCCGCATGTAAGTATTCTTTCAGTTCTTGGGGTTTGGGAGGAATAATCTCAGTGGTATGATAATTCATCGCTTTGGTTGTCATATTAACTTGTCTTAATCGATATTGTTCAGTGATATGAAGAACATGATCGGTGAAGCTTCGTGTGGTATCTGTCAAGAGAGTTTCAGCACCACTATCACAGGTATTTGCCAATCTCCTGTATAATGTAGTGTCTGATTTTGGCTCAAATAAATACCTTTGTTTTTACTTCTCATAACCTTATGAATGAAGAGCTTACTGTAACATCATCAAAAGGGTTCAATTTGTAACCTAAGTGAGCATTGACATGGTTCTGACTGATCATGATGGTGTAGACGTGATTAAAATGCTCCAGGGATCATCTACCTTGACGTCACATTGAGTATTCCACCTCATCGATCTCTAAGGAAGGAAGCAAGGAGAACAAACTTTCCTAGCTCGATACAATCCTTGGACAAGGAATGCAGCAAAGAGATGGAGATCGAAATACAGAGAGTGATTGAAATACAGAGAGATCGAAATACATATAGAGAAGTTTTGAGTGGGAGGGATGCAAAACCCCTGACCAAGGTTGCATCTAGCTAGGAAAGTTTGATCTTTCCGGTATCACCCCAGCTCCAAGGGGAGTTACAAAAGTGGAGATCGAAGAGGATGGAATACTCAAAGAGACATCAAGGGTGAAGAGTAGTTGCCATTGTGGAACAGGAGGCTGCTAGGCGGCTTGAGTCAACCAGTGAGTGTTGCTTATTTAGTCGTTCTTAATTTTTCTACTGGATCTTTGGATCATCTTGGTTTGGTGATAGCCTAGAATTTGACTGATTGTTGCGTTTGTGTGATTTGTATAAGCCTTGGTGGTGCTTAATGGTAGTGATTTGATCTTTGTGTTGTATATATGTGTTTTTTTTTCGGGACCTGCAGGATTTCTTAGGTGTGGAAAATATGAATGCAGTTGTGGATTCATGGGAGGGGGATGGGCATGGATGTTCAACAAAAGTTTGCTACACAAATTCTTGAGACCAGGAGCAAGACTCGTCGTGGGATGCTGACACTCATCAGGACGAAGACACATCATCGGATTCTGATTACTACAACCAGGAAGGAGAGTCCTTCTCGTTGTCGTCGGGTGCTGACACTGATCAGGAAGAAGACGCATTGGATGATGATGATGATGATGACGATGAGTCCGATCATATTGAGCCTGATGACCAACCCAACGGAGCCTCGATCGAGAAATTGGCAAATCATGTGTTATATATGTATGTTCAATTTTTTTTTCTACAAATCAATTGCAATGTACTCCATAACTCTAATGATCAAATATTGATCTTCTCTTCAATTGTGGGTGGCTAGATGGATATATCTAGTTATTGTTGTTTTTTGTTCTAAGATGGAAACCTCACGACTTGTAATTAAATTGTCACGGCCGAGAGAATAAGCCGTGATATGGAAACCATTCTCAATTTCTCACGCCCCATAACCCAAATCTCACGGTTTTTGAGTTGGCTCATCTTTAAATATCACGGGCGTGAGATTAACCCGTGTTATGGTCACATCTGAAACTCAAAAACACGCCTCACATCTGAAAATCTCACGGCCGGGAGATGGACCGTTAGATTTTTTTGAAAAAGGGGGAGTTCCAGGGGGTTTCACGGGTTGGTCTCGCCAGTATCACGGCCGTGAGATGAGCCGTGTTTGTGAAATTGAAATGCTGAACTTCTCACGGCTCATCTGTTAATCTCACGGGCGTGAGATTAACCCGTGAGATGGTCACAGTTGAAACCCAAAACCACGCCTCATAACTGGAACCTCACGGCCGGTAGATATACCGTTATAATGTTTTTAAAAAAATTGTCACGGACAGGGGGTTTCACGGTTTATATCCCGCCCGGGAGAAAAACCGTGAGATGGAATGCAGCAAATTGGAAACACCCTGTTTTAAATTCCTCTTTTCTACTTGAACCCGACCCCCAACCCTCTGTTCTACTTCGACCTCGAACCCTTTTCTCCCCAAGCCTCTTCTCCCCAAGCCTCTTCTCCCCCGACTCCCTCTGTTCTCACTCGCTCGCCATCGCACTTCGACCCCCCAAGCCTCGCCCTCACTCGCTCGCCATCGCCCTCGATCGGTCGCACTCGCTCGCTCACCCTCGAAGATTCTTCCGCCGCCGACCACTTCCCCGCGACTCCTCTGGTAACTGCTCCAAGGTTCAGCGGCGACGGCGACCATTTCCCCACGAGTCTCTG